CAATTTACAAGCAAGAAGTCTCTAAATAGTATTGTCAAACCGATGTGAAAAAATCATCTTTCAGGATTTTGCCATGTACCATTTGGGCAGATCAATTTCCTGGTAGTTAAAATATGTTAAATAAAAAAGATTTCAGGTTTTTCTTACCTGATTGTTTGATTTGTTTTCACAACAGTTTTAAGTACTTAAGGCTTTCATTATGATCTCTTTTTTATTCAGCCGTTAAGATAGACAACCTTAATCAGTGCAGAATTCCTTATAGCTTCTGTTTTCCAGATTTCTGATCACATTAATTTGCTTTGTTTTACTCAGGACTCTCCTCAGTTCATTATCTCTTTTCTTTAGTTTTGCTGTGAATTAACTGTCATAATACTGTGTGAAAGGAAACGATATATGGGAAGTATTAAATGCACCATTGGTGATGGATAACTTCATAGACTTGAAGTTATTCCTCCTTCATATTCAGTGGTACTGAGGAACCTTTTGTACTGCTCAGCTGAAGAAATGTGTTTATGTTTGGGCACTGTTTTGTATGAGTAAGAAAATGAAAATTCATAGGAAAGAACTCAAAGGAGAGCAATCAGAATATCTACGCTTGCTTTATAGCAAAAATATTGATACCAATATTTTGCTGTCAATCCTCAACACTAAATTTATTTTTCTGAATAAATGGTTTAAGCTTTTTTCTTTTGTGCAGCTGATTGTTTAAACTGTAGCATCTTGCACTTTTTAACTGTTGTACTTCATTTTTTAATTTATTTTATTTTACATTAGTCACGGCAATTTTAAATTTGAATTCTGTTTTGCTCTGAGTCTTTATCTTTTGATCATAGTAGTAGATGTGTGAGACACATATCAAAAGAGTTAAGAGAGAAAATAATTTTAGTCTGCTGTAATTTAGTGGTCAGTGATCTGACTACGTGGGACAGCCTGAAGTTCTCTCTGTCTAATTTTAAGTTAGGTAGAATAAAAATGAGTGACTTCTTTTTTCACATCTTCAGCAGGTGCTGCAATCATCAGTGTGCTGCAGATGCAGAATTTCAACTGAGTGTTTTCTTGCAAAAATTAAACCTGATTAGACACTTTGGTCATTAAGTCCTCTGAGATGTAAATATCACTGGTAAAATACTTATGTGTTACATTTAATTGGAAAAAATTGAGGTTCAATTATGATACTTAGAGCTTTGTCCTTTCTTTTTTTTTTTTTTTTTCAATTTATATTCATGAATATACAGGGACAACCCTGGCTATATGTACAGACTGGGGGGATGAAATGCTGGGGACCAGCTCTGCTGAAAGAAATTTGGAGATCTGGTCAACAGCAAGCTGAACATGTGTCAGCAATGTGTCCATACAGCCAGAGAAGCTGACTGTAACCTGGGATCCATCAAGCACAGCACTGCCAGCCAGTCGACGGAAGGGATTGTACTGCTCTGCACTGCACTGGTGCAGCCTCACTGAGTATTGTGTGCATTTTGGCAACGTAGTACAATAAGGACATACAACTATTGATTATCTTGGAACACTTTCTCCCACTCTTCAATAACTAGTATGAAAAGCCTCACAAATACTACTCTACCAATCTGGGAAATAAGCGGCCGTAACCAAGTTAGTAATTACTGTAGAAAACCTAGTATGCATCAACAACACTTTTACACTCTAATTTTTTACAAGGTTTTTCAAAATAAAATTTAAAGCAGGAAAGACAAGTGTTTTATGTCAGTTAGTCCAAAGTTTCACTGAGAGATGCCTATTTTGAAACAAAATTCAGAGTTCTGAGATTTAGGTGGTAGATAAAATACACGGAAAGAATTAGGGTATTTTGAATAGGGTACCAAAACATTATTGCCAGCAGGGACTGCTTTAAAGCAGATATGCTGGCTAGGGACGTGTGACGTGCCTGATGAAGACAAGAATAAAACTGATAAAAGCATTCGTCTGCATTCATCTCCCTCTTGAGAATGTTTTTCTCTTATGTGTAGTATTGAGAGGTTTGGAGCTTGCTTAAGAAAGTTTCAGTAACTTTTCTGTCAAAAAATGCAATAGTGACTTTTTAAATAGTTCACATGACAATTATACTACTGTTCTTTTTACCTCTTCTTCCCTCCTTGTTAATGTGCAAACATGAACACAGGCATGCAGCTTCATGCTTCTTTTCTTGAGGACAGTGTTTAGAAACCCCATTAGAAGTATGGAAACCAATATTTACTTTTCTCCTCTGTCCAAATGAATTTTAATTTGTATTCCTCTATAGTATTTAAATCCTATACAGCTCTACATATTTTCTATTTGTTCTTTTTTTCTTGCAAAGCACATAATTCTGATGTATGATCTCTAGTCCAACTCCCCTGCAATTAACAGGGACATCCACAGCTAGATCAGTTTGCCCGGGGCCTTATCCAGCCTCATCTTAAAAGCTTCCAGGGACAAGGCATCAACTACTTCTCTGGGCAGCCTGTTCCAGTGCCTCATCACTCTCACTGTAAAAAATTTTTTTCCATATATCTAACCTAAATCTACCCTATTTCCCATTAAATGATCTTTGTTTTAAGAAGCACTTTTTGTGGACTGAAATTTGTCCAGTAGAGTTGCATGTACCACTGTCTTCAACACAGAGCAAAGAAGGGAATGTTCTGAACTCTGATTCACAGCCATTTGTAATGGTCTAAAAAAGCAGACTTGAAAGGCTGAGAGAGATCTGGATTAATCTTATTGATTCTGAAAGTAAATAAGGTATTCTTGCATGTCATCGTAGTTCATGTAAGGAGTTAAATGAAATGTGAGCTAGATATTGGAATTTAATGGGAATAGATGAGTTTCAGTGAGACTTTCACTTTAAGTAGTTTGAAAGGTATTTAATCTTGCAATTAATGTTACTGTACATATTTCAGGATATTTTCCATTGTGTTTCTTCTAAACCTATGAAACAATTACTAGCTAGAGCAATGGTCTGCTTTGTGATTTGGTAACGTGCTCACATAGTTTTGCTCTCTCAAGATGTTTCTGTAGAGCATAATTTGGTGTGTCAGCCAAAGAAACTGCCATTGTCAGTGTGGGTAGAATAGAGATGTAGAACTAGTGGGTAGCAAAAAGGTGCTGGGAAGATAGTTTTGCAAGGCAGTGTGTCTGCTATACAAAAATATCCACTGCTACATAGCATAGCTTACAAGCAGATGATTTTGACACAAATTTAATATGTTTTCATTTATAGGGTATTGATAAATCATCTAAAACTGCTGGAAATTTAACGTATGTCAAAATTTTAGGATAATTAATACATGTCAGTTTCCAAACAGGTGAGAATGATTAAGGCTTCCACCCTTGCTGTACTCAGTTTCCTTTGTGAACTGACCATTAAATGACCATTCTAGGTGTGCATTTCTGCACTGTAAACCTTTTGTGAGATTTGGTTCAAGGTTAAGAAACCTATTTGTGGATGTCTGGTGGAATGATCAGTGTCTGCATCCCATCATATTGTGGAGATCTGGCCTCATCTCCTGCTTCAAGGACATGGACCTCCTGTAAGCCCTACATCAGCCTTACATTCATCTTGGAATGGCTGTCTTGGACATTCTAAAGTGTCTTAAATGGTGACAGTGACATACATGGGGATAACTTGTTTGAGCTTTGAGAGAACCTCATAAACATCTGCTGTGTATATACTTCACAGTAAATATAATTGCTAAGCTTTCAATTTCCACTAAATATAAGGGAAGCTTTGACACTTGATTATCCATAGAGCTACACATATTTAAATGCCTTAAGTTTAAAATGACTTCACAGACCAAAACTCTTTACTAATGATCACCACAAAGTTTTCCCCTAATTTTGTAGAAAAATAAAAATATTACAAAGATAATGTTTCATGTTTGGTTTTACTTTCAAGTCCTTTGTTTAAAAGTACACAGGGTACAAGGCACGTTTCTTCTTTAATTCCATTACTCTGTTCTTTTTGGCAATCCACTATTTAATAAAATGCATAGACTTGATTCAAAACAGTCTTTTGAAAACAAATCTTGCAGCTAAACCTTAAATTATGTATAACTGTTCTTCGGTTGCATAGAAAAAAGTGCAGTGATGTAATGATATTGTTATACACCTCATAAATTAGTAAATATTATTATTAAATATGATAATATATTTCAGAACAGGTGTGTTTCTTTTCTTCTTCTGTGAAATGACTGCAAAGCTATGAAATTGCACTAGTCTCCCTTTCTTAACAAATAGCTGTAAACAGCACTAATTCTTTAAGAAAAGAGCTGACTGAATAATAATGGAAAATTTGCAGATAAGTGAATATATCAAAAATTAAAATTGATTTTATTTACTGCTGCTCATGGAGAAAAACTTTGATACCAAAATACTTGACTACTGAAGAGAGTTTACTAGTTAATATCCAGTGGTAATTTCAGAAACGTATGTCCATCTTGAGCTTAGCCAACTGAAGACCTGTGACACCAGCATTTGTGATTAGAGTACGTATATCTGTGTGTTTTATAAGATGGAAACCTAGTTTTGCATCGTGATAGAATTATCATAACAACAACATTTGTGATAGATACCTGACACAGTACAAGGGAAACCTCTGAGTCAGAAACAATATCGCGCTTCTTTTTTATCGAACAGAAAAAAGCATTCACGTAGATTTATACGTACACTGTCTATCTGCTTATAGTATAGTTTCACAGCAAGTCATTCAATCGAAAACAAAAAGAGCATACTTCAACAGTGGTACTTCTTTGTTAAAAAGCACAAGGGAGGATGATTTCTTTTTGTGTTTTAATGATTACTTCAAAGACAATTTTGCCTGCTTTTTATAGCATAGAAGAGGCTTTGTATGTCCAACTCATTTGGAGCCTGAATAGCAGACCAGTTTTCCACTTTCTTTAAACAGTGTTTGTTTATATGAATTTTATGTATTGAATTGGATACAAGATATTAATTATCACTAAGAAATGTTCATATTCTTAATTTTTTGTTTCTGTGCCTTGCTTTTACAGACTAAAACTGGTATTGCTTTGTTGTATGATGAAGTATCTGAAAATGCTCATGACATCCGACTGAAGCTCACGAAAGAGGTATTAACAATTCAAAAACAAGATGTCGTCTGTGTTAGTGGAAGTGATCGCAGTGCAAATGTAAGTGCTTCTATATCTCTGTGCTTTCGACTGCACTTTGTTTTCTGTAGTGATCAGTTTATGGTATTGGAGTGCAAGAGAATTTATTGAGTAATAGAAGTATGTAATGTGTCATATGGCTGCAATACACTGTGTGCATCTAAGCGTATATCATTATGCCAGTGATATTTAAATGCCTTGTGTATAAACTTTCTTTCCTGGAAAAGGATTTGAAATTCTATCTTGCCCAGTCCCTGGCTAATTCTTGTATGAATCATCATAGGCTGATTGTATCTGAGGAAAAGTTTTATCAGATTTGTGTTTGTATTTATCGTCACTCATTGATTGTTCATAAAAAAAAATAGGAAGGAATGGTTAATCCAAATCTTCACTTGGGAGTATCGAGATTTGTGTTGGTTTATATTTTGATACACTTTTCTCCTACATTTTATAGATACCCTAAATAGTATTTCCAGGTGGAAGACAGGACAGGAAGACAGGCTCTGAAAGGGTTAGTTCAATGTAGGCTATCTTTGCCAAACTTTAATGCATTAAAATGGATTAGGTCATACCTTGATGGGAATATTTGCTTTTTCTATATTATACCTAATCAAATAAAAACTTTTGGAAAATTAGCACTTGAAATAAAGGCCAATTAAGATAAGCACTGTATATTTTACAGTATGTGAATTACTCCAGAGATCAAAAGCAGAATTTGAAATCAGGCTGAAATATGTGGTAGTTCTTTAGTGACATTTTTGGTAACTCTCAAGTTTTATATTTACAGCTACACATGCTAGATTCAGAAGAGATAAATGCTTTATATTTCACGTGGTTCAAGAAAATAATTTTCATCTCTCCTCTGTATGACTCAAAATATTAATGGAAAACTGTAACTTGAAAGTCAATTCTATAGCAGTCACAATCATTTTTTCTTACTGATTCATTCTCCTTTCTGTACTTATTATTTCTTAGTTACTCATAGTTAATCTTTATTTGGACATGACCATTTATCACAGTAGTGCCTTTGCAACAAAAATAGAAGTAACATGCTTGTCTTCTTCCTGGAATGATGTGGAACATGTAGGAAGAATACAGAAAAGTTACTATAAAACCAAAATCTTTCCCCTTAAGTAGGATATATGAATGGACAAATTGAAAAAGTAACTCCTATAAGTACTTGTGATATTTTTTTTCTCCTGCTAGTATTGTGAGACAGCATTCATGGAATGCATTTCATGCATTTGTTTCCACTCCTCCTTTTGCTCACAGATTCATTGACCTTGAGGAATACTGAGGACAGGGTTTGCAGATGTTCAACTGCTGGCTCCATGCATTTCTGAATGCTGAGGGCTGGCAAGGGTATCAGTTATCACAGGTGCTACCTTGGTGGTTTGGACTTTCAGCAGTACAGATCATTTCCAAGGATCTCACACTGATTGTGCAGATAAAAGGTTGTCTCTGTAGAATGCCCATCTTTTACTGGTATCATCTTGATCTTTACTTGTTTCATGTTTTGCCATCTTACATTCATATTTAGGTACTATCTTTATGCGCAGTGAAAGCTTTATCTTTGATGAGCAGTTGTAGGGCTTGTTTTCTATCATTTTACTTGGAAGTACAGAGAGAGAGAGGAATGTCGTTTTGGGAATTCAAGATATGTATAGAGGAAAATAGTGTAAAGGCAACCGATTATTCTCCTCAGTATTTAGCTTTTTCACAGTGTACATCAAAATGTAATTCAGTAATTTGGGCTTGGGAAATCCAAGCAGTCCATGCAAATCTTCATGACTCAGTGTTATGTTCAAAATGTTCAGACTCATAGGAAAAAAGTCTGTAAAGTTGGATCAGCACCCTTGAAGCATGAAGATATTGATAGAAGTGGTATATTGGAAAAAAGAAGAATTTTTTAAATTAAATTCTGAGTATTCTTGGCAGAAGGTTCTTTTTATTTTTTTTTTCCCTTCTTTTATATGATAGTTTAATAACACTTACAGAAAGGAATCAATTATCAATTAAACGAGTGCCAGCGTAAGATCTATTTTCAGTTAAAGGAGAAACAGAGAGGCATTCCTTTTTATATTTCTCATAATATGCTTTTTCTGAAGAGTATGATTTTTTAATAACTTTTTTGTCATTTAATATGTTAAAATTAATTTCTTACATATTCACGGTATCTCATTCCCTTCCTTACTACTCTGTCTGTCCTTTTCCTGTTTTAACCTCACAGTTTTGTGCCTCTCTTCCTTTCATAAACACTTTTCTCTTTTAATTTGCATTTTATTTTGGTCTTTCTTTTTTTCTGCTCTAATTCTACTTGCAAAGTTAAAAATAAAAAAAATAATTGCATCTGGCTTTTTACCACAATCAGTCCCTCTCACTGATTTGAGCTGAATTGTCTCTGAATTGATCAATGGTCAGGCAGGTTTTCAGTAGGAAGAGAAGTCTTCAAAAGATTATGTGAGGCAAAAGGATTAGAATGACAAAAATCTTTGTGTTCTACATGCCCAAATTTCCGGCTTTGTAAGTCCTCTCTTAGCTACAGTTGGGCAGAGTGAAATAAGGTAGATGAATAAGATCTCTGAGCTGAACCATTCCATTCAAAACAGGGAGGAAAAACTGAACAATTTTTTAAATTAAAAAAAACTGCATTAAGCGCTGTTTCAATCCCTGATGAACTGCTATGACTCTTTTCCTTTATAACTCAGATACTAATAAGGCCAGAGAAAAAAATGTTATTTTAGCAAAGCTCTAGAGAAAAGATATTAAGGGTGAAAGTTTATTTTTTGAGCCAGGTTGTGTTTCTGTCTAGGTAACTACTGTTACTATTGTTTGCCCAGAGTCCGTTCTGTCACCATTAGTATGCATATACATCCAAAATAATTTTTTAAAGAGCTTTTAAAATCAGCTAATATTTACATTTTTATCTGTATTTTGAAACATCAAGTGGATGATTAAAGGAAGACTCTTCCTTTTGAAACTAAGATCATTTGTATGGAGAAAATGTATTATTTAATTATTTATTTGTTTTCATGTTCTGAAAAGCTGACCTAGATATCTACAAGATAACAATCAAGGAATTCCTTAGGATTTTTTTTATGAAAGATAAGTTTCTGTTGCTGTCATTTTGAAAGAGTTAAAAGTCAGTATCACAAAATAAATAATAAATATGAGTATTCATCAGCATGATGAAAAACCTCAAACCTCAGTAATAAAGATAAAAAGAATAAGTAGCTTAAGTTAAAAAGACAAATGTAACAGCACAGTGATGCAGAGGGTACTACGGATATGCCTGAAAAAAAGTCTCTCCCTGAGATGTGTAAACAGTCCAGCTGAGGGTAACTTAACATACCAGCAAGACAGAGGGAAAGGCAGCACAGCACTGATGTTACTCCAGTTGTGTCCTTTATTAAAATTTTAGTTTATCTATTGTATGTGGAGACATGGCAGACTGTAAAGATCGTTAAATTGCTACTGTATACATTGTGAGAGCTAGTTTAGCAGTTTAAATTCTTCAAGAGCTAGAAGAAAAATAGATGACTACAATAGAGACATGAGCATTTCCAATTATAGTATGTTGGATACTAATGGATGCCAACTCTGCTCTTTATCTTCATTATATCACCAGCCAACTTATGAAATGTTGCACAAAGTGAATATAAGTGAAATTATTCAAATAAAGAACAACTGCTACTTTCTGTTATAGGATGCCTTTTTATTTAAAAGAAAGAAGTAGGGAAAATGAAGCATAAACATATCTTACCATTGGTTCCAGTATATCTTATTAGTAGCTCTGAAAATCCAGATTTGTATTATCATCTGTATTGTCAGTCACTGAATAATTTGGATTGGAGGGAACCTCTTAAGGTTATCTGATTCAATCCACTGTCTGGTGCAGGTTTAACTACTCAGGCAAGTTACTGAGGGCTTTGTCTATTGAAGTTCAGAACATTACCCGAGATGGAATTTCCACTACCTCTCTGGATGGCCTCTTCTAATGCATAACCATTTTTGCTGTGATATTCTTTACAATCATGCTTAACTGGAATTTTTTTAGCTTCAAATATGGACATGCCTCTCCTCTGTTTGTTGTGAATCTCTGAGAGCAATCTGGTTCTGTTTTCTATATAATCCTCCTTTAGGTTGGCAGCCTTTGAAACTAAAATGAGTGACTTCGTTTTACTCCAAAGAAAAAAAGACTCAGACTTTGATCTACAGTAATAGAAACAGTTATAATAAGATAGACTGATAAAAGTATCTTATTATACTATATTTATTAAGAATTCTCTGCAGCTGTCCCAGATCTCAGCTAGCATGTGAAAAGATTTACTTTATCTCCATACAAAACTTGAGGGCTACTGGCATGCCTCAGTCAGTTGTTATAGATGCATTCTTCTTGTTCCTTTTTGGAAAAGGTTACATACTGAGCAATGCAAAAAAAGTTAAAAGTTTCAGCTCTCTCTTTTCCATTAATAGTAATCTTTTGCTTTTTAGCTACATGTTCTTTATAGCCTGCCTCCTCTTCATGGAAGTGTAGAATTAGGCATCACAGGATGCCATGGACTATTAATTCATACTTTTCCTCTCTTTTGTGGGATTTCTTGGCTTATATTTCCATTGGCTCCATAATTCCACTCCAAGAAGTTACACTTCACTAATAATTTAATTGTTCCTAAGGCTGTAAAAGACACTTAAAACTGATGGACTTAGCACTGAAATTTATAAAATATCCTTTGAGCAAAAAGCTTTTCCTAAAGGCTAGACATGTTATAACCAACAGGAAAGCAATTATTATTTCTAGTAAAGTTGTTTGACTGACATCCCACCCACAATATAGTTTTATGGAAAAGCTGTTATATTGTTTATAACTACTCAGTTATCTGATCCAGTTTTTTATAGTTCCTGTGAGGGCAGTATTAACAACAGATATGGCACATTATCTGGCCAAATCAGCTAAGTGAAATTTACTTTTTCCTCATGCTCCACTGACTGCTTTGGATTTTTGTATACTCATATCGTCTTTAATAAAGTCTGTGGAACATATGGTAATATAATTAGTAAACGTAGTTGCTAAGGAAGTGATCAAAACTCATTGCTTTCCAGATTCTAGTTTTCTTTGACTCTGGACTGCTATGTAGTGGAAAAAGGAACCTCTGTATTCCAGTCCTAGATGATGGCACTGTAATTCTTCTGACGTGTTCCACAATATCTTTTCATGACAACATAAGGGTGCATGGTTCTAGCTGTATCATCTAGATGTCTAGATTGTTAGATAGAGTCATTAACCATAATCCATCACTTCCTGCTGTTAAGGTTGCTGTATGCACTGTCCTATGCATGTTGTTTCTTCTGAATTCTGCCTGGAAAAAATCTTGTTCAGGCCTCTCCTGCAGTTTAAAATCCATGTTTCTAGGAAATTAGCTAGGAATTGAGTCCACAGAAGGTGGACTCAACCTTTGCAACAACTGGGAAGGTGAAAATGTGCTACCAATCAGTGAGAAGTGAAGGTTGTGTGAGTAGAAGTGAGAATCTTGGTACATGGCAGAATATTAAACACATGCAGCTTAAATTGCTGAGGAAGCTCCAGGAATGGTGAGAGTGAGCTGAGAAAATCCTCATGTGTGCTCTTCCCTATCTTTGTTTAGGAGACGACTTCCTGAAAGAATTCACATATTCTTCCTCTTTACTGCATCCTCTTTTGTTTCTTTTGGATGTACAGCAAGCAGCAGGAGCTCTGCATTTTATGGTACATTTTACTGGATCTCACATTCTCACAAGATCTGTTTCTTAAATAATTTTTTTTTTTTTTTTTAATCTCATAACTTCCTTTTGGAAGCTTCAGGAGTTGCTGAACAAGGGAAAGATAAGATATGGTTGGTATTTTAAGTACCTATCTTCTTTTCCCTTCTTCTATCAGACCATATCTTCACTTGCATCCACGTGGGACAGTTTGTAGACTTCTCTTTTAACTCTTCCTATACTTTTTCTTGTTTTGATTCTTCTTTTCTCCCTGCATGTTTCCCAAGGCTTGGATGGCTACCTCTGCTCTTACTGACATTGTTTACTGAGCCCATCTAGTCCCCAACAACAGTGGGCTATTATTAACTTAACGGCAAACAAACTAACCTTTAAACAGCATAACTGGATAAACAGAAAGTTAGGAAAACATAAGCAAAGACACTCTTGTTAAGATAGGCTTTTATTTCAAGTTTTGGGAGGAAATGAACATTTTATAAAGTTTTGTTTAATATTTCTATCAGTGATGTGGATGAGAGGATAGAGTGTTCCCTCAGTAAGTCTGCAGATAACACCAAGTTGGGTGGTAGTGTTGGTCTGCTTTGAGAGTAGGGAGAGTCAGCAGCAGGATCTGGATATGCTGAATCAATGGGCCAACTTAACTGTTATTGCATTCAGCAAGGCTAAGCACTGGGTCACGTGCTTGGATCGCAACAACCGCATGCAACACTACAGACTTCAGGAAGAGAGTCTAGAAAGTTGCACAACATTTAAGTACCCAGGGGTGCTGGCCATTAATTGACTAAACATGAGCCAGCAGCATGCCCAGGTGGTCGAGAAAGCCAGCATCATCCTGGCATCAACAAAAATGATGTGGCTTGCAGGACTAGGGAAGGAATTGTCCAACTCAGGATCTTCTGTGATTCTATACTTTGTTTAATCCATGAGTTCCTTTAAGACTAGGGTGAATGCTATCGAACCCTGGTGATTTGGTACTTTTATTTAGTCATTTTGCTTCTGAAATTATTTCAAATTCAAATCTGTACATCCTTTATGTTACAATGAATGCTGGAGGAATTTTTCTTGTCTCTTTTACACAAAGCCCTAATGAAAACTGTTATTTTATCTTTTCTTCCTCTGAGTATACCTTTTATATCTTGATCATAAATCAGCCCTGTGATTTCTTAGGCAGACTTCCTGCTCCTAGTAGATTTGAAGATTTATTATTAATTGTAATTCTTTTTGGTGGCTCTTGAATTTCTCCCTTCTGGTACTGCATGATTCTGTTTTTCACTTTATTTGTTTATTTTCCTGACTTTGTTTGAAGATGATGTCCACCACTCTTTTCATCTAATAACCTTTCAACCTCCTAACAACATATTTAGCCATGTTGTTTCCCTTTTTAAGGCCTTAGTTAAGCCTTTCATAATAAGTACCATTCAGTAGCTCTGTGCTTCTACTGCAGTAGCCTTAAGAACTCCTCATGCTGCCTATGCAATTTTAATGTTCTAAGCTGCGCCCCTTTATTCTACCTTTCAACAAGCTTCCTAAGTTTTGTACGCTCCCCCTTTTAGGGATCACCACAGCATAAATGTTGAATAATAAGTGCATGGCACTTAAAGTGCCATTACAGAGTAGTTTTTCAACTGTGAAAGTTTTCACTGTATCCTGCATGCTACTAAACAGTAGGGCAAGTATTTAGTCTTGTGAGGCTCCGTGAAACAGGAACTGATAGAGACCCACTTTTTGTTATTGTGCTATGTCCTTATGAGTATTTGATCTGAAACTAAACAAAGTCTGTTATCAGTGTTATATTTCAAATTCCTATTGCTGGTCTTCATGTCACTGAAGGATAACACAGTCATTGTTATCCTAGTCACTAATGCAAACTCTTAAATCTATGGAAAATGTTTTACTTCTTGAGGTAGTTGGCTTGCTAGTTTTGAGCCCAAAGTTCTCTTTAGCACACAGCATTCACTGTGCTAGTTATCTAGCCTATTTTACCTTTCTTATATATTTTACATGCTGTTATTTTTTTTTTTTTTCCCTACATCTCCAGAGTGTTTATACCTCTCTTTAGTTCAGATTTGATATAATTTTAATTTACTTTCTAGCATTCTGTTTTACATTTCCTGTAAAATCACTGTAACTGTCCTTCATTTCTGGATATAGAATTCTTCTCTTTATATCCGTAATGGATGCAACACAATTGCACTAACTTCTATCTTATAAACTTTTGTAGCACTACAGTTTAGAACTTCAGTTACAGCATTTCTGTATTTTAAGTACAAGCAGTTTTGGTTCTTTTACAGTTCAGATGAATTTGGTGCCTCATACAGTCTCCCCTTATTTCAAAAATTCTCAAGTTTCGGATGAACTTGAATGTATACTCCTGGAGCCATTTCTTTAGGTAGGCATTGAAACCTTATCTCCCCAGCTCTGCAGGGACTTCTGGGAGAATTTTGGAGGACCCTACTGTAGAATTACATGGCTCTGGCTTCCTTACTGCTTTCTTTTCATCCCTAAGGCTTATTTCCATTACAACTGTCTAACATCTTTTCTTTGAGAAGGTCTTTCTCACTGCAAGGAAATATGTTTACATTAGTTTTACCTTCCTAAAATGAAACTGAAATCATGCATCATGTTCCCTTTTTCTCTGAATTAAAATAAACCTAATCTGGCAAGGTGGGTGTTAGGAAAAACAAACAAACAAAAAATTACTTGTGGACTTCAGCTAATTAGTGTTTGTCTGACTTAGTGAAATCATAAAATACCTAAACAAGATATGTATATATAAAAGTGATATCATATATGAACTCTGGTATAAAGAATAGCAAAACAAAATCATAGAATCATAGAATTACAAGATTGGAGACAACCTGTAAGATCATTCCCATTACCAGTGCTACCACAAGCTACTAAACCACATCTCATAGCTCCTCCTCCAGACACCTCTTTACTTGCCAGGGACAGCGACTCCACCACCTCCCTGGGCAGGCTATTCATTCCAAAATGCCTGATCACTCTCTGAGAGAAAAAGTTCTTCCTTATGTCTCATCTAAACCACCTCTGGTACAACTTGCGACCATTTCCCCGGGTCCTGTTCGTTACCTGGAAGAAGAGGCCAAACCCCTCCTCATCACAGCCTCCATTCAGGAAGTTGTAGAGTGCAATGAGTGTCCTCTGAGCCTCCTCTTCTCCAGACTAAACAATTCGAGCTCTCTCAGCTGCTCCTCATAAGACTTGTACTCCAGACCTCTCACCAGTTTTGTTGACCTTCTCTGCACACATTCCAGGACCTTGATGTCTTTTTGTAGCGAAGGGCCCAAAACACAGTCCTTGAGGTGTGGCCTCACCAGTGCTGAGTACAGGGGGATGATTACCTCCCTGCTCCTGCTGGCCACACGTTTTTACGCATTCAGGAACTGCCATTCCAGTTCTTGAAAGGTGTCATTATATGCACTATTGTTCAGTATGTTGCAAAAAAGTTCTTTTAGCTCTGCAATTATTATCAGTGGATGAACTGATATTATTGTGTTGTCAGTCACAATGATTTGCACATTAATGAAGCATCAAATTCATTGTACTATTAAACGTATGATAGGCTGCTACAGAAAGATATCAATAAACGTTTATCTTCTTTATCTACTTAAACATGAAATGCAAGAAAATAATTCAGACAATCACAAAAAGTCTTTTAGCACATGCTGCAAAAATAGCATATGACTGAAGATAATGATTAGAAGACATCAGTATTTGTGATGGAAATATGAGAATAAATATAATGTGCAAGCCTTATAGCAGTTAAAGAAGATAAATCAGCTATGAAAACATGCATCTCAAATCTCTTCATAGTTTTCTCATGAAAACATTTGTCGAAATAAAGCAAAAGTGAGTGAAATTTTCTTTTTAGGAAGAATATCACATCAGTGGTAGAAAAATATATTAAAAGTCTGCATATAGATTTCACTGAATAGCTGTGCTCTCTGTGTTAAGGGATTAAATAAATGCCTAGTGTTGAATGGTACTTCAGAACAGAACTTGATCATATAATTTCCAGGGTACCACTGAAAATTATTTATTTATTTATTTATTTTAAGTAGAAAGCACTTTAAAGCATCTTCTGTGCCTATTCAAATATTGTGTTTTCACCTAAATTTATTTTTTTCTGCAATTTTTTAAAGCACAGAACTGTTACACTTCATAGACAACCAGTTGGTGGCTTGGGCTTAAGCATAAAGGTATGAAAAATATCTTCTTTCTTTTCTTATTTTTAGTTTTGCTAGTTCACTTCAGCCTTGATTGTGGTCTCACAACTAATATGCATCTTTTACAGGGTGGTGCTGAGCACAAAGTGCCTGTCGTCATATCAAAAATGTTTAAAGACCAAGCAGGTAAAATATATATTTCTGTTATTCAAATGTATAGTACTGCAGTATACATTATTTCTTTTTAAGACTCAAAATTAAAATATATTTATGACTCATTCCAGCATCAGTGTCTTTAAGCCTTTCTTTAAATGTCCAATTTATCTTTTGTGTTGAATTTAAAATCTGTAATCTGTCCATATCTTCGGAAACTGAGCTTGAAATTTTCCTGGTAAGTAACAGCTCCCAAAAACATACATTTTACTGCAGTGAGACAGTTGTGTAGCAGACAAAGTATTTAACATTATTTCTGAAAACAAAATTATGACTTAGGAAATGTATCAGTACACTTAAGTTTAATAACCCAGAGGATAACATAAATAAACTGAACATATTTTTTCCATACACATAATTCATTGTCATATGGTATGAATGACTTTCCCTAGTTGCAAACAGAGGGTGATTTGTAATGGTAATTATGAGCTGAGAGGAAACCTCATGGCGGCTGCAGCTCCTCACAGGGAGCAGAGGGCAGCACTGAGCTTTGCTCTCTGGTGGAAGAGACAGGGCCTGAAGGAATGGCATGGAGCTGTGTCCCAGGAGTTGGGTTGGGCCAAGTGTTAGCAAAAGGTTCTACATCACTGGGTGGTTGTAACAGGCTCCCCAGGGCGGTGGTCATAGCACTGAGCTGCTGGATTTCAAGGAGTGTTTTGACAACATAGGATTTTTGGTGGCCTTGGAACCAGGAGTTGGATTCAGTGATCCTGTGGGTCCCTTCCAACTTAAGATGTTCTGTGATCATGGTCATTAAACAATTGTATGATTCTAATGCTTTAATTTTGCAAGAAACAATCTGATAATATTATTTAAGGGGAAAGAAGAGAAGTAGTCTATACATATGTGCATTCTTTCTCCCCATATTTACATATATGTATATTTAAATATAAGTATTTATATGAAGAGATGTAGGGAAAAATATCCATGTTGGATATAAATAGAGGAAATGTTAAATGTGAGAGTGACAATTTTATCTTAAACTGCATTTTGGACTGAAAATCTGTATGTTTATAATGGGAAGAAATTAATAATGGATTTTCACTGTATGAGGAACTAATAGTGGCAAAACTGATAAGGTAGCTTCACAGGTGACTTTAAGATTTGAAAACAGAATTTTACTGTGAGGGATTTTACTAATTTAGCTAAACTTATGTGAGTAAAATTCTTCCTAGTGAAAAAATTTTTTATTTCCTAAAATATCTGACTACTTGCTACCTTTTGTGAAATTTAATAACTGTTGTATGTCAGCACTGCAAAGTCATGTTTCCAACTATATTTTGGATACAGTGCTATTTTATAGTTCCAAAAGTGGGAAGTTTAATAGGATAAAGAAGTTGTTTCTTATTTTATACTTGTACAACTTTTATACTATCTGAAGTATTTAGAAATATTTATGTCCTCTTTAAATTTCCCAAATTCTGTAACAATGGTGGTATTAAATACTTCACTTACAGTTTTAACTTGCTTAGAGACTCAGCTGTGATCACAGTGTTTATAACAGAATCACAGAATTGTAAAGGTTGGAAAGGACCTCTAGAGATCATCTAGTCCAACCCCCCTGCCAAAGCAAGCTCCCATGTCCAAGTGAACGTCATGGAACACTCTATTTGATTTGACTTTCTTTCATTATGAGTGTTCTGTAAGAGAGAAACTTGCGCAGAAACTCAATTCAGGAGCTTAGCTTTATATTGCTGAAGGATAAGGTTAAGTAGTCCTTCAGTACTGGAGACTAATGTCCCAGTGTATTGATAATCGCAATGAAGACTGTCCTGAATTTTCTTTCAGCCTCTATGCTTCTCCACAGGATTGAGGAAAAGTGAGTTGTGCTGATGCTGCTGACTCATCCCTGAATTTAGGCACTTTACATTCCTCTGTGGATTCTATCTTCCATTCTAACAAAAGTTATGTGCTTTTCATACTGACAAAGCTTTTGTTAATTTTAGAGGGACAAAAGTCCTGTCCCAGACTGAATGAGAAAAAGAAAATGCAAACATGTTTATTAATTCTAAATTAAAGTGATATAATTAGCCTCAGAGTCATTTTAATCCCATGAAAAATCACTTCCAAACATAGGATTTTTTTTTTCCCTCTTGCTCATGTGTTCAGTTGTCCTGTTGACTCAGAATATTAGCTAAATTATTAATAATCACCCAGCTTTTCTTTTTTGAAAATATAATATTGATGTTGAAGCTTCTTAGTAAGATTTTCCAAAACTGAATCATTCTTTCTCTAATTGTTTTCTCAGATGAAATTTAACAGAATTGATTTTCCTTGTTGAATCTCAGGTAGAGTCAATCATTACATATTAGTGTTGGTGTTTTGTTAATAGCTTCTAAATATACTTTATTTCAATAACTGTGTTATAATCAGTATTAACAGTTTACTTATGGTAAAGTGTGCAGTAATTTTACAGTCAAATAAGTATAGGGTACTATTCCTAGAGAAGCATAAGTGAATATCCTGAACTTGGAAAGGAAATGGATTGTTCAGGCTTACTTGATATATATTGAACCTGTAAGAAAATTTGTCAGATACGTGAAATAGACTTTAAAGAATTCTTATATAATACATAGGAGTAAATTTTACAAGCTTTCCTATGTTTAAGAATTTCTGTCTACTATTTGTTATTCCAATCCATAATTACTAAGTAAATCTTTATGAACTTGCTGAAGGGTAGAGGCTGTAAATATTAACAGACTGAAATATAATTTATTCATAAGTGCAAGTGACTTTAGTTGCATACAGGATTTTTTAATTGGTAAAGCAATATATTATTATGGTCAAGCAGTTTAATTTCTGTTTTATGTTACAGAGTTATCAAGTTAGCAGTCACTTTTGGTTACCTTTATACAAATTTCCATCTTTGTGAGTGCTGCTGTAATTATCTGTCTGCTGCTTGAGATCTCTGCCTGCATCTCATAAAACATGTGAAGTGAGACAAGCATCAATGAAGAAACAGAACAGTGGGTACAGCTCACTGAGGCGTTATTAAAATAGATAAATAAAATTGAATAAAACCTGGCAGAATAAGGATAGTTTGCATTTTGCCAGTTTCACAAAGGATCTTCTCTTGGGAGCCAAACTGGTTCTCAAACTTTACTTTGAAAGCATTTTCCCACCTTCTGTGATAAAAGGTGACAATGTGTTTAGTCCATTTCTGAGGGGAGTTTACATATACCCTGACAGGATTAGAACAAACTCAGGACGTTCAGCCACTGAAACATTCCTGGCTTGAAACCCTGCACTCTCCGAACAGTCTGTATCCAGCTATTACATCCTGGCTGCCTGCACTCAGGACCATCTGTTTGGAGGACACAGTGTCAGTTTGATGAGGGCTTATAGCAGTTTCACTTACACATACATGCCAAGCAAAGATGGTTTGATATGTAAGCATATGTGATGTTGCTCACATAAGTATTTTTTCTGTGCTTACTCCAGTTGTGCACAAAGGTGTTACAGCTAGAGTAACCAATAAATCATTCATTGGGCATGGCTTGAGATTAAAAACAAGCTGCACAGCATATAGTGGTGATATTCATAGATTATTCTTTATTGCTGCAGATCTACTTAGCCTGGATTCAGCAGCCTTACAGTTTCAATTTAATAAGTTCAAGATTAAGAAAGATTTAAGTCCAGGTGAAGGGCTTTGTAAGGAAGCCAGAATGGATCAGAAACTTGCTATGCCTTAGGCTCATGAAAGTGAATGCTAAATACAAGGCCATTTCTGAACATAAGGAAAAACATACTTGAGGGGCAGTTATATGAACAGGAGTCATTATATATTTAGTGGGATGCATATAGATATTTAAGTTATTGAGCTGAACATTTTACACTATTGGTGTTTGTTGATTTGAAGCATGAGTGACCTAAGTCCTTAGACCTAAGTCTAAGGAGTGCTTTGGTTAAAAGGATTCCGTGGATAATTTTTATGTGTTTATTTAACTGAGCAGGTATGTCATTAAAATCTGATTTGGGAAATGTTTTTAGAACAGTAACATTTTCTTTTCAGTTACCAGAAACTCATTTCCTTTACCAAGGACAAGACAAGAAAAATAGAATGAAAAATTGTAAAAAATCTATTTTGTTCTAGAATATGTGCTGTTTTTCTTTTAATACATTTAGAAATTGAAGAATCCAAGAAATTCTTATAGAGAAAGCCAAAGCATTCTCATTTTAGGTTCATTTGAATTTTGTTTTCATTCCTTTGGCTTGGCTAAAGTGTAGCTTGGAATTTTAGTTCAGTTCTTTAGGTTTTTGTGATGAGTGTTCTCTTTGGAAGGTGCATTTCACAGTTTCTCAACTGAAAAGGTTGATAAAATCTGACAACTTTGTAATTTCAGTGAACCTCTATATTATAGCTATTATTCATGTATTCTAAAACTGAAACTAGAAACTAAGAAAAAGTATGAAAAAAGTGTTATTTCTTCAATTATCATCTGCTCCATTTAGCAGTTGAGTGAAAAAAAAAAAAAAAAAAGACTTTAGAATTTCATTGAATTTCATTTACACTTACAATTTGTATTCTCTCTTCTGTTTCCCTTCTTCTGATGAATTGCAGAAGTCTAATGAAATAAATCTAGTGTTACTTTTTGAATTTGTTACCACTGCAGTCCATACTGAAAATAAATGTATATGATAGTTTTTCCTCATAGTGAAATTAGAGAACTACGTCATGCATGTTCACTAAATAAATTGTCCTTCTAAAATGGATGATAATTTGGACCCTGGATTTGGAGTTTTCTTTTATCGCGGTGTTTTAGTACAGAATCGGGAGAAGCAAGCAGCTAGCCAGAAACCATTTTCTAATCTGTAACAAAGTCCTACTGCACTGAAAAATATTAATTAAAGTCAGAGTAAAACTCATTCAGATTATTTGGGCTGAAGCATAGTCAAGAATAATGTAGAATACTTGATGGAAAAAGCAAATGTGACAAACTTTTTGGAGATACTGTCAAATGAAATAATATAAG